CGGGTCGGGAGGCTAGGGCGCGGGGCCACCGGCGGCCCTCGGGGAGCGGCCCTCGCGGGGCGGCGGCATCCGGGCCTGGGCCTCTGGTCATCCACACCCCCGGGGCATCCTGGGGCCGGCGGTCCCACCTGAAACAGAGGGAGGCAGAGTCAGGGGCGGGATGCCAGGGGCATTAGAGAACCCGAATGCCCGGGAGAACCGCTTCTTTGTGCTTTCTCTCCAGCTGCGACAGTCAAACGGCCAGGGTTCTGTGCTGGCACAGGACAGCTACCTGCTAGCCAAGGCTTACTCCGGGCCGGGTCCTCGGTGAGCTGGGTGGGCTGACTCCTGACACCGCTATGAGGTAGATGCTAGTATCCCCATTTCGCAGGTAGGAAAACTGAGGCATATAGATGTGGAGGAATTAGGATTTGCACCCAGCACTATGGCCACTGGTCTCAGCCACTACTCCTACTGCCCAGGAGCCCTGACGACCTGAGGCAGGAGGGGCTCTGTACAGGCCCCAGCCTGCCCTCTAGTCTCCAGCCCACCCCAGTCTCTGCTTCCCACATCACCGTCCCAACTTGATGACGCCAACATCATGGCCTCCAATTTGTGGAGAGTGCCATTAAATCTGCGACAGAAAACTGTCCAGCCCGCTCACAACCAAGCATGTAAATCACTGCCAAGGTCACATTTTGTTAGTGCAGTCAACTGAGAGTTGAATATGTCTAAAAACCTCAAATTCTGACTTTCTCCTCCTTATCCCAAAATTAGTAATTTTGTTAAATGTAGAAAAGTGGCAGCTTTAAGGGACCGTTCCATCAAAGGATGTTTCCGAAGTTCCTAAGTTTGACACAACAGGTGCAAAGCTATTTTCCCTTTTCTAGGACTTGGGGTTATCATCTTAACAGCTGACACAGAAACATTCGTGTGAGCAAATCAGCATGATGCTCTTGCTTGCCATGATCTCAGCTGTCAAACAGCTGATGGTGTAAGAAGAACGAGAGCAGAGGAGTGTGGAAGGTGCTGTAGATGGGCTCTCACTCACCCCAGGGTCAGAAGATCCATCACTACCATTGATTCCCTCTGTCTCTTTCGGTCAGTCCCTGCCCAGGTCGAATGAGACTGCATATTGTTCCCCAGGGCCACCATGCTGAGATTCTAACCTCCTTCAAACCTCTGACTCCTTAGACGGAGGTGGAAATTGTCCAGGGCTCCTGTTCTGGGGCTTGTTGGGTGGGCGTCTGCCCCGTCCCAGAAAGGTGGGCTATATCGAAGAATGGAAAACTAGGGGCGCCTGGGTGGCTTAGTGGGTTAAGCAAACGTCTGACTTCGGCTCAGGTCATGATTTTGGGGTCCTTCGATTGAGGCCTATTGGGCTCTCAGTGGGGAGAAGCAGACTGCATGCCAAGCTGGGGCATCTCCTCCGCTCGGCAGGGAAGTGCCCCTATCCCCGCTTGTTCTCACTCTCTCTCTCAAATAAATAAATAGATAAAATATTTTTAAAAAAAAGAATGGAAAATTAGAAGCACTTGGGCCCCATGCAGCCTCTGGACACTGATGTTACAGAACTACAATCCCTCCCAGCTTCTGGAAAATACCTATTAACACTCTGGTTTACCTGTCTACAACTAGATACTTTCTCTATGCATCCACTACCGTATGTATGCATTTTTTTACGGAAATTCTATGCAACTTGTTTTTCCACTTAATAATTTATTGTAGCCATCTTCTTATGTCAGAACATATAGATCTACTGCACCATTTTTAATGCCTGAGTAGTATTCTGTTGACTGGGTGAAGCATGATTCATTATCCAACTCCTTCCACCCCCCTGTCTTCCCAAACGAGCAACTCACAGCCCAGCGAAGCCAAAGCCATTTTACAAGGAGACATAGAGGGGTGACCTCGAATGGTCAGTCCAAGAACTGTGATGAAAATGAGCACAGGAAGGTAGCCAAGTATGACACGGCGTTCCACAGCCCGCTTTAGACACCCCAACCCCCACGTCCACACCCCTCCACCACCCCTGCCACATCAGAAGGTCAGAGGATGCTCTGATTCTGCTGGAACTCTACCCTAGAGCCGCCGCCTTTGTCCCGGGCTCCGGAAACCTGCACTGCGGCCTCTGACAAAGACCTCGGGGGCACGAGGCCCCCGAAGCCAGGGCCCCGGCTGCCATCTGCTCTGCTGATATCATCATATATACAGGTCAGTGCCTTGTGCTAACTAACACCCTCTCTGGAGTAAAGCCACCTTCTCGCTGCCCCGCAAATAATTTATTAAGAGATAGAGGGACTTGGCTCTCGCTTTGCCAAGGGCAGACCCGTGCGGAGTGAAGCCAGCACCTGACCCCCCTTCTTCCGGATGAAGAAGGAAGATGATGGGGTCCAGATTGCCCCCATTAGCAGGCCCCTGGATCGGCCCCTCGGGCTGTGAGTGTCAGGAAGGTCCCGAGGGGCATCCCCACCCCCTGCCGTTTACGGGAAGCGCAGGGGTTCAGAGCCAGGCTGCCGTCCCTGCTCTGCCCCTCCGCAGCTGTGGGACTTCGGAGGAGTGTCCTCCCCTCTCTGGGCCCAGTACCCTCACCTGTACTTATGGGACTTCGATGAGGATGAAACAAGATCATCCCCCACGCAGTGCCCGGAACATGGCGAGCTACCTGACTGGCGTTGTCGCCGCCCCAGAAGGCTGGCGAAGAGCCAGGAGCAGTTGGCACACCGGCCAAACTCTTCCCCAGAGTGGCTGGGGTGGGCGAGTCCTCCAGGCCTTAGAAGAAGTACTGATCCTCGAAGCCCCAGGGGAGGCTGGCTGGCCTGGGCAGCTGGAGACACCACAGGTCAGGCCACCTCCTCTTCCATTTACCCCAGGTGCGAAGCCTGGAAAAACAGCCTGTCCTGTGCGCACCATGATATGGCATGGCTGACAACTCTGGGCCAGCCCCACAGCCTGCTCCGCACGTCAGACGAAGGCGCTGACGCCCAGGACCTGTCAGAATGGCTCAAAGACATATGGCCCGTGGTGGCCAAGCCTAGACTTTCCCATCGCAGCTCGTCCTGTGGATGAGGAGCGAGTGGCTCAGAAACGCTAATGGGAAGTGCGGGGAAGCAGAAATACCATCTCCACAGGACTCCGCAAGAACGCCCAGACCCCAAGGCCAAGCTGCCTACAATTAGCACCAGGTGGGGTGACACAGGCCCCCCCACCCCCACCCCGTGAGGACCATCCCTCGCTAAGCTCAAGTGCAGAGTGTGAGGCCAGGGCTGAGGTGGGCCAGCACGGCTGGGAGCAGGGAGGAGGGCTGTCCTCGGGGTCAGTGTCGTCCATGCCAGGCTGCCTTTTGCAACCAGCATGGCTCAGATGAAAAGCAATTTAAAACACATGGAAGAATTAAGGCAGGCGACTTCGGTTCACAAGCTTGTGCCAGGCGCTTTCACATTCAATCCTTATTACAACTCCAGAGATAGACGTTATCGTCTCCATGTCATAGCTGTGGAAACCAGTTCAGAGAAGTCAGGTAACCTGCACAAAGTCACACAGCCAGTACGTAGAGAGGCCAGAATTAGGAACCCACCCCCTAGGAGCCAAAAGTGCCCAGTCAGGCTTGGAGGGCTAGGAGCCAAGGAGCCTCAGAAATGCAGCCACGTGTGGCCCGGGCTCAGAAGACTGGGCACAGCCTGGCTGACATTCCAGCAGAGGGGATGTGACCTAGACAGCACTGGGGGAGGGGTGTCTGTTGGCCAGGCCCCAGAGCCGGCTCTGTGACCTTGGGGAAATCGCTCCACCTCTCTGAACCCCAGCTGCCCGGTGCTGGCAGGACAACAGAGGGAGATAACCCCTGACCCACTTCTGAAAAAGGAAGTGAATGAAACCCGTTGAGCCTGTTAGATGTCTTGGTCTTGGAGGCCAACTCCGCAGCTCTCCCAAACTCTGTGCTGTGAGTGACCTGGGGACTCGGAAGCAGAAATTCCACACCTGCCCACCCCCAGGTCCCAGGGAGCCCAGCCTTCCGCTTCCCCATGAAGGAATCCGGGCCCGGGAGGACGGGCACAGCAGCCTGCCAGTCCTCACTCCAAGTGTGAGGAGACCGCCAAGGCCTGAGTCACTCCTGGCCTGGGCCAGGGAGGTGGGCCAACTGCCCGAGTTCTGTTCTCCTGACCTTGCCCAAGGTCAGTCCACCCAGTCTCCTGCAGGACCAGGTAGGGTCCACCCGGGAGATGTGAGAGCCTGGGAGCCAGAGTCCTGGGCTGCCCTTCTGACTGGGCCCAGTAAAGCCCAGTAAGGCTGTGTGACTTGGAGAAATCACTTCGCTTCTCTGAGCCTCAGCTTCCTCGTTTGTAAGAACAGGTGTAATACCACCTACAAGGGATGTTGTGATGGAACTTATATGGGGGCCTGGAGCTAGTAAGCACCCGAGGAAACAGGTTGGTGTGGCCTTAGGCACAGGCCTTGGCCCTTGGCTACCCTCACAGCCTGAACGATCTTATCCAGTCTGCTTTAAATACCATCTACACGCTGAATAACAGGCTCCCAAATTTCTCTTGCCCTGAGGCCTCCGGGGAACACGCCCTTCAACTCTACAGTTGCACCGCTGAGGCTGCCCCCTCTTGGATGTCCAATAGCAGCTCTGACATAATGGGTCATCCGACTTCGTGGTTCCTTCCAAACCCACCCTGCTCCTCCCACCTTCCTCATCTCTGTGAACGGCAGCTCCACGTGACTCAGGCCCGAAGCTCAGGCGTCTCCTTGAGTGCTCGAATTCTCTTACACCCACACCCAGTGGCAGCAAATCCCATTTTTCCTATCTTCAAAACCATCCCAGAACCCGGCCGCCCCTCACCACCTCCCCTGCTACCACTCGGCCTGTCGGTGTCCCCCACTGCCTTCCTACAGAAAATTCACCGTGGCGGTCTCGTCATTCCTCTGCTCCAACCCCTACCTTCCCTCCCACCCGCGCCCCCCCACCCTGCCCCCGTGGCTCCTCATGTCCTCAGAACACAACCTAGAGCCTTACTGTGGTCTGCCAGGCCCCACACCGTCCTGCCTGGGCCACCTGCCTTTGCCGTCAAACCTCACTCTGTCCCCTCCCCTCACTCTCCCTGGGCATCCTGGATCCTTGCTCATCCACTTGCAAGCCATGCGCGCTCCCATCCAGGGGCCTCCATCTCCTCCCAGATACGGACATGCTGCCTCCCTCCCTTCCTTCGGGCCCCTACTCAAGCATAATCTTATCAAGCACCAGCCCTACCTGCCACGTTCCCTCACCTCCTGCCCTGCTTTGTTCTCCTTAGGGAACAGACCACATGAGAGATTATTATATATTTCCTTGTTGTTGACCATCTCCGCCACTGAGAGGTAAGCTCCACGAGGGCCAGGCCCAAGCTTTATTCACTGTGCTGAATACAGCACCTTCACAGTGCCTGGCACTGACAATGGAGATTTGTTAGGGGGATAAAGAAGGGAAAGGACGAGGCAAGAGCACCATGAAATGTGGGTCACCTTCCCTTCCCTTCCTCCTCTGGCTCATAGCAAGGCGGGCGGTAGCGGGAGGACTCCTCAGTTTCCAAAGCCCTTTCTCCTCTACGGTCTCACTTAGTCCTTATGAAAAAGCTATCGTTTCTATAGGGGCATGCATTATTACCCCACTTCACAGATGAAACAACTGAGGCCAAGGCAGTCAGTGCCATGGTTAAGGTCCTGGGAGCTTCCTGCTGCCCAGCCTGAGGGCCTCCTCCCTTGCAAGGCACAAAACGCCGATGGCAGGATGGTCCCCTCGCCAAGTCAGCGTCAGCTCCAGGGGACAGGAAATCAACTCCCTCCAATATCTGACTTAACACTCCTCCTGCCACCCCAACCCTGAAAGGTAGGGGTAGACCAGAAGGCCTCAAGAAGAGACAGAGTTAGGAGGCCAGAGGTCCCAAATTGCCGGCACTTCCCTTTCCCCAACCCTCTCTCGTCTAGAAGGACGAGGGACTGCCCAAGGCCAGCTCTGTCTCAGCACACCTCTGGCTCCCTCCTCTGAAAATCCCCCAAGGACAAGCCACGCACCGGAGCTTGTGATCAGTCCGTAATTGCTGTGATCCCGCCCTGCAGAGGGGACTCACTGTCCCTTCTCGCCTCAGGTCTGGGCCCAGCCCAGTGGCACCGCCAAGCCAGGCCACTAGGTGGTGTCCCAGGGCTCAGGCCCCTGCTGGTCCCAGGGAAAGGGCAGGCGAAGCAGCTTCCCTCCGAGAACCCAAGAATCTGCCCCACCCCCACCTCGGACTAAAAAGGAGAGGAACCCCAGCAGCCCAAGGGTCTCAGAACCCAAGACTGGAAGGGTCTCAGAAGGACTTATTGTCCAAGTGGGAAACACAAGGCCCACACGTGCCACCAAGTTCTAGTCCCCGGCCTTGGCGGACGCGGGGATCTATGCAGGTGTTACCCCTGTCCTGTGGAGCCCACAGAGCCCGTTAGCGGGTGACTGGAATGGGCAAGCCACATGCACCCTGCTCCCCAGCCCTTTCCCTCCCGTGTGAGAAGGCGACCGCCCGGCTTGCTTCGTCTCATCAGGAACCCGGCTGCTAAAGCCAGCGGGGCCAGAATGAGGCCATATGGCCCCTGGGACGCTTGTGTCGCCATGGCTAAGTCCTGGGCAAACCTCAGGTGGGTAGTGGCAGCGCTGACGGGGAGGCTGCCGGGCCAAGGGCAGCTGCATTCTTGTCCAGTTGTCACCTCAGTCACCATGGGGGCAGGGCGCAGGGAGGCCGGCTGAGCCGCTGGGCTTCTGAGCTGGCGAGGCCGCAAAAAGGGGGAGAAGGGAAGGTGGGGGCCCCAGAGACAGACAGAGGCCCTGGGGGGGTCTGCGCGGGGGCTCGAGCGGCCGGAGGGGGAGGGGCGGCGCCGACAGAGGCGCCTTGTCCTCCTGCCCCTGCACAGGCCTGTTCTCTTCCCAAGCTATTCATGTCTCTGCAGCTTCAAAAGCCAGGTGACCTTTAAATGCCGAGCCTCCTGCTCCTGCCCAAGGCGCGGAAAAGGCTTAATGGAAAACTCAACCGGCCACAGCTGCTGGGGTGACGGCGACAAGGCCGGCCTCATTCTGAGGGCACCGGGCTGCCGGGCAGCCACACCTGTGCCCACCTCTGGGGGCACGATGGGCACAGCCGGCGGGGAGAGGAGGCCTGGCCGGGCCTGAGAGGAGCAGGAGGAAGAGGGGGAGACACAGTCTCAGCCCTGCCGTGTCCTGCTGTGTGACCTTGGGTTGCCCACTTAACCTCTCTGGGCCGTACCCCATCATTTAGTCCAATCTAAGCCTGGGGCAGAACAAAAGTCCCCCTTCCCAGAAAAAAAAAAAAAATCTTTTAAAAATCTGTAGAAGAAAAAACAAGGAAAAGAAAGACATTTGCTTTCCTAATTTTTCTCTCTCTTTGCCTCGACGTCCAAGGCCAGGCGTGTAGGCAACAGGAGCTCTACGGTAGGGCCTAGGGCAAGAGGTCTCGAAGGAAGTTAATAAGGTTCCTCATTCCAGTTGAAAACGTCTAAGATGAAGCTCCTCGAGCATGAGTAACGTGGCATTCGTTTGGCCCCTCTTGGTAGGATACTGGCGATAGTGGTAATGACCTAACCCTGGTGCCCGCTTCTTTCCGAGCCAACCCTATTCCAGTGCCTTCTGCATGTTAACTCTTCTCAGCCTCTCGTTGCAGCCCTGCAAGGGGCGTACTGTCACTGCGATTTCTACTTTGTGGATAGAAAAATGAAGCACAGAAGAGTCCAGGGACTTGTGCAGGTCACACAGCTAAGTGGCCAAGGGAGGTCTGACTCCAGAATGGACGCTGTAAATCCATCCAGCTCCACCAACTCTCTGTGTTCCTCGAGCTGCGCACAGAGCCAGGCACGTGGCAAGAACTCAGGTAACCGTGTATTGAATTGAGTCCTCCACGGGGCACAGCTGCCCTGGGGGAGGCTGGGGGTGCGTGGGGCCCGTGTTGGGGGAGCAAGGGAAGAGGAAGGAGAAGTTTGCGGGCAAAGCCTCATCCTGAAGGAGGGACCATGGCAGTTTCCTTACAAAAACCTTTTCCCCACCCCACGAAGGCTGTTTAGTTGCCTGGACGACCAACTGTTTTCCACTTTGACCTGAGCCTCTTCGAAACTATTTCCACAACAATCCCTCTCTCCATCAACACATTCTATCAGCTTAGCCAAAACGCTCAACCCAGGAGCCTGCGAGGAGATCAAACATCAGTGGACAGAAGGGGTGCTGCTCCCCACTGCCCTAACCCAGGGGCCGTAGCCCTGAGGAGCCCCTCTGGGCTGGCAGCAATGTATGTCTACCTGGGAGCAAGTCAGGGGCCCAGACTCAGGGAAGGGAGTCCCTGGCAGCTCAGGTGCAGGCCAGTAAAGCTGGGCTGGCTCCAGGTGTGAGCTCATGCTGGCCCGGGGCCAGCTCCTTGGGAAAGGGGGGCCAGCGGCCCCTCCCTGGGCCTCTCCTTCAGGCAGTTGGGCTGCAGGTCCCTCCAGAGGCAGGGCCTGCATGTTCTGGGGCTGAGCTCTCAAGTCTGGACAGTTCCAGATGTCTCTGGGCCCCTGGGACAGGTGCTCAGTCAATGATGCCACACACTTTCGTATCTGAGCATGCCCAGGGAATCCAGGCCAAGGAACCAAGATTAGGGAGGGGTGCTCAGGGTGAGCAGGAGAGGGTCCTGGGAACAGAAGTCCGACTCCTGCCCCCTTCCCCTCACACTAACACGCACTGTGCACCCACCCACTGATCCATGAATCCCACTTCTATGGAATTCATATAATATGTATCATGGAAGACTATACAACAGAGAACAAAAATGAGGCCTCTCTATATGTCTCGCTGCCCAAGACCTATGGCCAAGGGGAGCAATGCAAGGCAGTACTGTACTATAGTACGTTATAGTATGTGTGTGTCAGTATGTATGGAGAGGACATTCATAAGAAACTGATCCTATAGGTTTCTGCTGGAAGGAATTAGGTCATAAGAGACAGATCAGGGAAACCTTTCTCTGTAAATCTTTGTATATCTTTTAAATTTTGATTCATGTTCATTATCAATTTAAAAGTAAAATAAGCAGATAGCCTATAAAGAATAGCAAAATGAGAGCAATGCCAGTGATTTTTTAAATCTTTTTGCATGTGTATATTATCTACAACAGACATGAATCACTTTTGAATAATCATTGTAGCAAACGTCTATGAGCGCTAACCATGTGCCATGTACTTTCTAAGCACTTGGCATGCATTATCTCATCCAAGCCTCAAAGTAAAGCAATTATAATACCCATTTTACAGATAAGGAAACTAAGGCCCAGAGAGTTTAACTTACGTGGGGTCACACAGTCAGTGATGGAGCCAAAATGTGAATCCAAACGGTCTGGCCCCAGAGTCCATGCTCTTCTTAACCTCCTCCTTATACTGTCTCTCTAATTAAAACAAAACAAAACAAAATCTGAATGATGACAAAAAAAAGTCTCAAGCAAAAAGCACACTACAGAGCCTCTAGGACTTTAGAACTTTTGTAATCCTCAGAGTCCCAACTCCATCCTTCCTGCCTCTACTAGTCCAACAGGCCTTCGCCAGTCCTGCCTCAGTGGGAGCCAGGCCCCACTCCTCTCCCAGTGCTCCCTCCTGCTCAGGGGCCTGCCCACCTCCTGGTGGCCTCGCAGGGGAGAATGAAGGGCCGTGGGGAAGGTGGTGGCCGATGCCACATCTGTTCCAGAGGTCAGACCGCAGCGTGTGGGGTCCTCCGGGGCAGGGCAGGGCTGGGTCTGGCCAGGCAGCTCCTTGCGGAGGGGAAACCACACGTTGGTTGTGAATGGTGCGGAGTCTGGGCAGCCTCCGCACGGAGGTTCCAAGTAGAGCTTTAGCTCTGGGCCAACCTCAGCTTACATTCTGATCACCACTGCTTGGGTGAGTGGAGCTTCTCTGAGTGAGTTTCCTCATCTGTAGAATGGGATACCTGTTCCTCTGAGGACGGGTTCCCCTCCAGGGGGATTCATGAGCTGGGCACACACAGGTGCCCTCAGCCTGGGGCAGCTGTTAACAAGGCCCTAGGGCCCCACACTTCTCCACGGCTGAGTCTAGAGCCTGGCCCAGGAGTCAGGCCTGGGGTTACGATCTTGAATCCAGCCCTGAAGGGGGACAATGTGCAGCACAAAGGCCTCCCATCAGGGGCCTCCAGGACCTCAGGCTGGGGGGCTCTGGGGCCCCTGAGTGGAGCAGGGAGCTGGGCCGACAGCCCCATTCCTGCCCATATTCTACTATGCATCCTAGCGGAGAAGGGACTGGAATATACTGGGGCCTGGGTCACCCAGGCCTCCCACTCCTCCTGGGGGCCTGCCCTCTTGGGGAGGGGCTCCCCGCCATCCCCAGGGGTGAAGGAGCACAAGCACACAAGCCAAGTGGCCTTCTCAGAAGTGCCGGCCTCTGGCAGCTGAGGAATGCAGGCCCAGGGCTGGGGAGCAGGGCCTTGGGGAGGGGGTGGTTGGCCCTGAGCTTCGAAAGAACAGGCAGCAGCTGTGGCTGGGAGGGCCTCGGCCCTCCCCGTCTGGCAGCCAAGACCCCATCAGAAATTCCACCCCAGCAAGAAGGGCCAGCCCAGACAGCAGATGGGATTGTTTAGAGCCACTTACCAGGCCAGCTCCTTTCCCCAACTGCAGGCTGCTACCCCCTCCTCGCCCCGGCCCCTTCTCAGTCTGTACGGCAGCAGAGCCCCCCCCTCCACAGCCGGGGGCGTCCCGAAGCCAGCCGCCGGGCACCCCCTCCCGGCCTGAGGCCCTCCGCTGGCCACACCGCTTCACCTCCACACAGCCTCGTGCCCACCCGTGCCCTCTGGAGAGGCTAGGTTAGGACGGCAGGAAGAAATGTTCTCACTTCCAGATGATGCCTACTGCCAAAGGTCATAGAGCTCCTTGGCCTGCGATTTGATCCCAGCTGGGATTTGAACCCAGACTCCTGGGCCAGTGCTCCCTCTCCATGCAGTGCACACACTAGCAACTCCAAAACAGCTCGTGCGTCTGTGTGTGCAACACGCACCAGCTCACTCAGACCCGTTCACTCGCAAGGCCACAGGACACAACCAACCTTCATTAGGTTTTTCCTGAACACTCCCCTCCACCCCAGGTCCTCAGTCCATTCCTCTCTCCACCTAACTCCAAAGCTGGGTTTTTAAAATTACAGCCACGCTCTCCTCCACACACTGACTGCACTAAGTGTGAGCCCACCGTGCGAGCCACGCCCCGCACTGGGCTGACGGCAGGGCCACGGGAGGCCCGCAGCCCTCTCTCTCTTCCCCATCCGTGCCCAGAATGGCTTTTACAGTGTCTGGGGCAGCAAAGGTGAGTTCAGGTTGACCTGACCCGCAGCAGTGCTGGCCAGAACCAGAGGCACCGCCTTCCCAGTTGCTCGCAGGATCAGCGCCCGGAATGGAGCGCAGGGAAGGGCCTCGGGCCGGCGGGGCTGCCAGCCCTGGCCCTCAAATCTGACAGTCAGCGGAAGGGGGCGGGAACTCTTGGGGGTCCCATAACCAGCCTTCTTTGCCTCCAGGAGTCTCAGTCTCCGCCTCTAGAAAATAGAAACAGCCCCTAATGAGTCTCACCCTTCCCATCACTGAAACCCCCCAGGCATGCAAGGACATGGTGGGGTGGGGGGTGGATGAGGGCCAGAGAAAGGCACCACTGTACGAGGTACAAACCCACGATGTCTGCAGAAGGAGGTGGCCGTATCCCAGTCCCCCAGGGCTGGAAGGACTTGTACCCTTTCTTAGCTACAGAACCAGAACCCTTTCCACCCCTTTCCTCATATGAGACCCTCAGCAGAGGTCCCTCAGCCCTCCCCTCCCCCAGAAGTTACACATAATCAGAGAACCTGCCATTTACCGAGTGCTGGGCCATGCTGCCTGGGCATGGTGTTGGTTAATCCTCACGAGCTTCTAGCACTGTCCATCACTGCCTTCTACCAGTATCAGAGCCATTTTACTGAGTCATGTGTGACCTAGAGGTTGTCCAGGGCTGGGCCGCATCCAACCCCCATGGCCTTACATGGCAGAGACCAGTGCACCTGTCAAATCTCCCGACACACTGGTTCCTCGCAAGGGTTTTAAAGCCTGGGTTCAACCTCCATGCTCTTGTCTCCTGAGCTGTTTGTGTCTCTGCCTGTTCCCCCTCCTGCTACCAGTCTGCTCTTGGGAAATGTTAATGTGCTTTTCTATCAGTCTCAGAAGCAAACATTCTTTGCATTAAAGCCGTGTATCTCAGAGGGTGGTGAGACTTCATCAGACTCCCCCGAGGTGTTGCTAAAAACACATATTCTCCACCCCACTATTAAATCAGAATCTGGGGGGCGGGTGCTGGGAATCTGCTTTTTAACAAGCTCTCCGGGTCATTCTGATGCCCAGTAAAGCGTGAGGACTCCTACTTCACAGGGTGATGCAATATAAAACTCTGGATTCTAGTTTTAGCTCCATCACGAACCAGCCGGGTGACCTTAGGCAGGTCATTTTACCTCCCAGGCCTCCAGCTTCCCATCTGAAAACTGGGCAAGGAGGACTAAAATGATCTCCAGACCCCTCTCCCCAGTGACAGCCTCTGTGTCTGCCCTAAGTCCTCAGATGGTTCCCAGGAGTATAACTGAATTTCACGGCCTGCACACCGTAGACACACATTAAAGAGAGTCCACATCAGACTGATTTAGGAAGAGCTGCACAAATACCTTCTCTCTGGCTCCAGGCCCTAAACAAATAACTTTTGGATTATCCACAACACTTCCCCCTCCCCCGAGCATCTACTTGCTTCATTCCAGCCCAAGACGACCAGGATTCTATAAACACTGGGTCTGCACACCTGGGCTTAGTCAACAGTCAGCAAACAAAGGCTCTGCCAAATCACCCCACAAGCCCAAACTCGCACCCGCTCTGTCACTCAAGGGGAAGCACCCAGCCTAGGATGTGTGGACCCTGCATGCCCTTCCTCCCATCACAGAATGGGCATGAGGGGCTGGGTCGGACAGAAGGTATGGATAGAACGGCCCCAGCCTACAAGTGGGTTGCAAGGTTTATCCAGACTTAAGGGCTGTGAGGCACGGGAAGCCCCCAGCAATCGCTGGGACGTTCGAAAAGCAGCTAGACATTCCTTAGTCCCTGGGTTCCTTGATGATCACCCCTTAACACACAATGTACCTAGCAAGTGCTCAAGCATTGCTTGCTAGCGGTAAACATTTGCTTGATTCGTCCTTCAAGGTCTATGTATACTTAACAGTGGAGCTGTGGGGATTCTCAGGCCCACAGACACAGGGTGACTTCAGATTCCTGTTACCTTTGCGGATGGTGAAGCTATGTGTGCTCCTGCCAAATTAACCAAGGGGGAAGGACGAGCAGGAAAGGCAAGAACGGAAACCCAACTTCTACGGTGGGACACAGCCGGAAGTTCCAGCCATGGTCTGCTGATCCTACTCATTGAAGGATACTGAAATCGATCATTTCCTCACTCTGAGCACGCCGACTGGCCGGAAGGATGGTGCTTTACGTGTGCACCGCACTTGACGGTTTACAATGCCGAGGGAGGGGGGCAGGGGGTGGAGTCCACCAGCCCTTTCCATTCAGCCAAGCTCCAGGCCGGGCACGTCCCCTCCGGCAGGGACCCACTCCGGCACTGTGTGAGGGCACTCGCCCTACACGGAATCCTCGAAACAATCCCACAGGCTAGGAAGCAGATTATTTGGTAGATGAAGAGACTGAGGCAGGCAGAGAGGAATTAACTTCTCTGCGGTCTCACAGCCAGGAAGTGGCGAGTCGGGATTCTTCCCCAAAGCCCACATTCCCAACCTCTTACCGCACTGTGCCTGCACTTACGTTGGTGGGCCTCTGATCTCTGCGTGGGCAAAGGGAGAAACTGAGGCTCCAGAAGAGCTGGGCCCTGGAGTCAGCCTGGCAATGGTCCCCCCCACCCCCCCGGCCCATCCAGGTCTCCTGGAGCAGGGGAGTAGAACAGAAGTGGGCACAGCCCAGCTCAGAGCTGAGCCAGTCCCGCCACAGGCCTCCGCCGCCACAGCAGCCCCAGGCCCGGAGGGGCCAGCGCCAGGCTCCCTCTCCCAGCCCCAGCAGGACCTCCCTGTCGGGGCCTGGGCTGTCCTCAACACTCAGCTGCAGGCCCCACAGGAGGAAGCGGCCACACTTGAAAATCATTGCCATGCAGGGCCGAACTTGGGGCTTTTGTTCTTGAGCAAGGACGGTAACATTTCACTTTCAGGAAGGAGCTGGGAGGGTGGGGCCGCCTCAGAGTTGCACAACCGAAAACACAGGCTCAGACTCACACGGGGCCCACGTGGAAGTCTGCTTAGACAAGCCCCCTGCGGACTTGCGGAAAAGGCCTCTCAGCCACGGCGGGTCCGCACAGAGGCCGGAGACGGGCCGAGCCCTCCCCCTGCT